GGGCCAGGAAGATAGCAAGCCAGTAACTTCCAGGAATAGGCTGTAAACTGGACATCCAAACATGGTCCCTCTTTTCTGGTAGCTGATCCCAGACAGCTTCTGAGCTCACATTGAGGGGTTAAGGAGAGACCCCAGTGCTCTGGCCAGTGACGACTCACCCGTAGCTACCGAACCTGGACAGGCAAACCCCAGCTTAGACCAACAAAAACCCAAAAACCCAATGTAAACTTGCATCTAAAGAAAGGGGTTGGCTCATGATAAGGAATGAAGTGGGGGTTCCCACCGGCCATGACCGGATCCAGGGACGCAAACCAGGTTGTCCCAAGCCTCACCTGCAGCTTTTTCTTCTCTATCTGTGGGCCAACTTCTCTGCAGCGGTGGTTGGCTCTCTCCACATGGTGGGAAAGGGGCATAGGCAATCCATCCTTCTACTCCATGACCCCAAAGGCAAAGTGTCTTCTTCACCTTCAAACAGAAGCTTGCCTTTTTAATCTAAGGATCTTGCCAATTTGATTCTGCTGCCATAGTTCCTATTTTGTCAAGAAATGTAAACAACTACTTGACATGATTCAAGGAAGGACCTCATAGGCTGACTTTCTGTTCCTGGACCAATCATTGTAGGGATGAATACAGCACTAGGAAGGCCTGGGGTCATGTGACCAGGGGAAGTCAGTATCCAAGGGTTGGGTTTTGCTGAGCAGAGGTGAACAACAGACATCTTCTGTAATCATCACTGTGGTCAGCAGCCTCCAAGGAGACCCTCGATGACCCCTGCCCCATGGTATTCACACTCTTGGGCCGTCCCTGCCAAATGGGACCATGTCATGTGAGCAGCCCCACGGAGACGCCACGTGGTGAGGAGCTGAGCTCCTGCCAACAGCCAGGCAAAGGCATCACCTTGGAAACCCAGCCTCCAACACTAGGAAAGCTTCAAATGACCGCAGCCCTGGCCAACGACCGGACCGCACCCTTGTGGAAGACTGAGCCTGAGCCACCTGGTCAACCACACCCAGCTTCCCGATCCTCAGAAAACTGTGTGACACAATGAACATTGGTTTACCTTGCCAAGTGTTGGGGTCATTTGTTCCGTATCAGTGGGTAGCAGATACGATCAACAGAACAGATGATGAATGAACTTGGCGTGTGCTCTCCAGAGCTCTGGGAGGTAATGGAATTTGGAGAGGAAGCAGCCCCTGCACTTCGGGGTGCCCCCTGGACATCGGTCCAAAATCTCACACCCAGCATCTTGAGAAACACAGAGGTTACAGACAGTCACACACACATTTCTGTACAGGTTTTTTGCTAGTAGAAATGACTTTTTATCCTTTCAAGAACAAAATCAGTGATTATAAAATCCCATACGTATGATGACTAAAACCCAGCTAACAAGCAATATGAGAAGAAATGATTCCCTTTTTTTTTTTTGAAGATTTTATTTGACAGGGAGACAGCGAGAGAGGGAACACAAGCAGGGGGAGTGGGAGAGGGAGAAGCAGACTCCCCGCTGAGTGGGGAGCCCGATGAGGGGCTCGAACCCAGGACCCTGGGATCATGACCTGAGCCGAAGGCAGACGCTTAACGACTGAACCACCCAGGCAGCCCAAAGAAGAAATAATTTCTTAAAAAAGATCTCTAGTTCAGAAACAAAATTTACCAAAACTCAAAGAAATGAATGAGTTTACTCTGACGTTCTACAAAGGAGTGTATCTTATAGAAGACATCCTAAGATTAGCCAAATCCGTCATTGTGGAGCAGGCCATTCAAAGCTGTGAGACTTAGCCTCCGAGGAGGAGCTCACCGATACCATTGTGGGAACAGCAATCACAGTGATCAACAGCCCAAGGGCTTCAAAGGCCAGGGTTAAGTGTAGAAGCAACCGTGCTTAAAAAAAGAAAAAAAGTTTAAAAGTTTAGTTGAGGGGCACCTGGGTGGCTCAGTTCTTAAGCGTCTGCCTTGGGCTCGGGTCATGGTCCCAGGACCGCAGGAGCCCCATGTCGGGCTCCCTCCCCCACTCCCCCTGCTTGTGTTCTCTCTCTGGCTGTATCTCTCTCTGTCAAATAAATAAAATCTTTAAAAAAATAAATAAGTAAAAGTTTAGTTGCTGCCAACCTGCCCAACTTGGGAAGAAGCAAATAATTACTTGCTCTGATATGAATAAGGAAACCTAAATATGAAAACTAAAAATGGCCCCAAAGATCAACTCCTGTCTCAGCTGCTAACATGTCATTCCTATTTAACAGACAAGGAGGACTTATCGGGAGCAGCGTGCCTGCAGCAGGAACTTGAGAGCCCAGGACCCCCACCACCCAAGGAACAAGGGGGGAGTCCCAGGGTGGGAGTGGGCGGATCTCTTCTTCTCCCCCTCCTTCCCACAGCGTGGGCTCCTGAGGAGCGCTTAGCTCACACACACACACCCGCTATCAGGGTGTGAATGCAGAGAGACCTAAGACATGCCCTGACTCACACCCAGAGTTCACCCGGAGATCGCCTCAGATGGTTATGGGAAGCCACGCCAAACTGTCCTGATGTACACAGAGTTCAGAGAGCCAAGGAAGGACAAATGAATAAGCAGAAGTTGAGAAGTACAGAAAGAATAAAGCTAGCCGGTGATGGAAGGCCTGAGGGCTGAGGAAGGTCCAGTGAGCCAGCTCTCCTAGGCCTCATCTTTCTAGGGTCCAGGTCATGGGCACCTGAATGCTTAAACCAGAGCCCTAGTGTCCAGGGGGCACTGAAGCTGGGCGGGGTTCAGAGTCACCTGAGGCCCTAGACACAGCCAACCTCCAGAGCAGCTGTTAAATGCATTTGAATAGGGGCACCTGGGTAGTTCAGTCAGCGCCTGCCTTCAGCACAGGTCCTGGTCCCAGGGTCCTGGGATCGAGCCCGACATCGGGCTCCCTGCTCAGCGGGAAGCCTGCTTCTCCCTCTCCCTCTGCCTGCCGCTCTGCCCACTTGTGCTCGCTCTCTGTCAAATAAAGAAATAAAATCTTCAAAAAAAAAATACATTTGAATAAATGCATTGATAATGTGTTCTCCCACAATCTCATTTGCCTCGACATCCCAGGAATAAACTCCTACATATAAGTGACTGCCAGCTTCACGGGCCGTTCTCACGTACTTTTGTTGTATTTTATCGTTACGACAACCCCGTGGGAAACCCAGGGCTGCTATTAGCCTCACTTTGCAGATAATTATTATCCCCATTTTAATGATGAGAAAATTGAGGCTTGGAGAAGGCAGCAACTTGCTCAAGGTCATAGGCTGAGGACAGAAGCCAGTGTTCTTCTGACAGAGGTGGGCCCTTTGCCATCACCCTGCACTGCTTCCCACTGAAGCGCCAGTCAGACCACAGTAACAATTTTAGTTCAAGCAGTATTAGTAGGAGCATATCTTACACTCCTCCCAAACACGTTCACATTTCTTAGAGGCTTTGAGTCACGAATCCTCTGGAGTGGATGATGAGGGAACAGGGATGAGGGTGGAGGGCTTGGTCACTTCCCGTCAGGGCACGCTGCACAAGCGTCGATAAGGTGCGAGAAACCACTCTCTCGGAAGTCACAGTCACGGGACTGGTCTGGGCAGAGCGAGAGCAGGGTAGAGCGAGCTGGAGGAGGGAAGGCAGTAAGTGGGTGGGGCAATTTAACCAGCGAAAGAAGGAACAGTGTGGGGGGCTGGGGAGGAAGGACTGATGGTGAAGGAAGGTGGTAGGAGGACAGGAGAAGCAAAGGAAGTGAGCTCAGTTGTGTGAACCACGGGCAGCCCTGGGCCTAGGGGCTGCTCTCTCCACAAACCAACCACAAACAAGAACGAACCTCTGCAGAAACACCAGCTGCTGGAGGGCTGAGCACCCGTCATCAGGACACTGAGCTTAAAAACTGTCCCCACACCTTCCTAGTTTCAGCACTGAGGCAGGGGAAGGGTTCACACAAGCAGTTACTTTTACAATACCTAAGGAATAATGGTGGAGAATGCGGCCCAGAAACCAGTCAGACCAGCTCTGAGACGGTGCCATAACTTCTCAGCCGGGCTGCTTTTGATTTTTGAGTCTGTCTCCTCATCTGTAAGACAGACATAAAGGTACTTCAGAATTGTGAATATAAGGGTATCTGATATGGGGGCACGCGGGTGGCTCAGTCTGCTAATGGCCTGCCTTCGGTTCCGTCCTGATCTCGAGCCTGTCGGGCTCCCCGCTCGGCGGGAGTCCGCTTCTCCCTCTCTCCCCACCAACCCCTGCTCACGCTCTCTCTCAAATAAACAAAATCTTAAAAAGAGAGAGAGTGACTGATACGCACCAGGCACCAGTTAGCACCAGGACCGCTTGGAGGGGTTGGTGGACGACGGAGAGGTGCACGTTACCACCTGGATCCACCAATTCTGATTTTTCTACTAAACGAGCCGAAAGCTCCAGCGGTCAGCAGTCTCAGAGCTGAGCGCTCAAGCGCTGGGATAGAGGTGGACCGGCAGGAGCCCCGGCGGCCCGGGGCGCAGGGACAGTCTCCCGGGCCACGACCCCGATGACCGGCGCTGGGGACGACTTCTGACACCGTCGTGCCGCCAGCAGAAAATAACCAGGTGAGATGTTCAACTCTCCGAAATGCAACACCCGCACGATGAGGATTCGGCCTGCGCCACGGCGCCCGGCCACCCTCGCTCCTCTGAAGCATGAACCAAGGGCAAGACCTGCGGCCAGGGCGCCGGGTGGGGCTGGGGGCGGGGGTCCGGGTCCCCGCTCTCCCGGCACGGCTCCCTCGGGCTCTCGCGCTCCGCCCCGCAACCCCGCGACCGGGCGACCCTCTCCAGCGGCGACGCCCCCGAACGGCGCAGCCGCAGCACGCAGTCCGGCGCGGAGTCCCGGTTCCCTCCCTCCCGGGCTCCGCTCGCGGCGCTGCGCCCCGGGTGGCACCTAATCAACCGCTAGGGAACGCCGGGACGGTCGGGGTGCAGCGGGCGCGGGCAACCAGCTCGGCCAGCCTCGACCGCGCAGGCGCCCCCCGGGCCGTCCGACCGCGCAGGCGCCGCTTCCGGGCCAACATGGCGGCCGCATTGCTGCTGCTGCGCGCCCTCCGCCCGGGCCCGGCCGCGGGGTCCGGGCCACTGCGGAGCCCCTGCTCGGGCTGGAGCCTAAGCCTCTCCTTCGGGGCCGGAAGGAGGTGCCGGCACTTCGTCCACAGGCCTGCGATCCGGCTCCTGGGGGCCGGAGGCCGCGCCAAGCAGGTACCCGCCGACCCCTGGCCGGGCCCCGCCCATTCCAGCCCCTGACCTGCTGCCGCCCCCGCTTCCACCTCCCGACCCCTCGGCCGGCACCTCCCA